CACTTCAAAAAAATGGCTGTCACTGTAATGAAAGCTTTTACTTCCCACCATCCCCTCTAATAACTGAATTAAATCAGAGACAGCAATGATATTTAGTCTCTTAAACATAAAGCAAGTTAAATGCTAAACATTCTAAAGCGCTTCATTACTGAAGATTAAATATATACAGTTCCAGAAAGATTAAAAAATGTTACTGTTTACATTTTTGGTTGAGAAATGTTCTAAAACAAGGGAAACAGCTATACTTGATAAAACTCAATCTTTTTCCCCTACCATTCTGTCTCCTAATTCTTCCTGGTTGATAATAAAAATACCATTTTTTGAAAACAGCTTCAATGAAACACAAATGTTTATAACAAGACATTAGACACTTTTCTTTATTACTTTCTCATTATACTTATAATTAAGAAATAATTATTTCTAGCCTGTTTCCTGCCAGATGCAGTTCTAGTACCTCTAATAGGACATACCTTAAAATAACTGCTTGGTAGCAAGAAACAACATTTTTCATCCATACTCATGTTTTCCCTTCTCTTTCTTTTCTCTCTCTTCAAATAACTTCATTGATTTTGGCTCTTTCGTAAACTCTGGCCTGCTTCTACTTTTTTTCTCCATTTTTTGTTATAGATATAATTCAAAAAATCACCTTTAGGGAGGAAAAATGACCACAGGGGGTACCAGAGGTTTGAAAAAGCCTGAGACTGCCTTTGTTTTAATGCCAGTGGAGGTAGGATGAGAATCCTCAGACTGTGGTTTCACACCAGCTTTAATCCAGCTCAAAGCATCAGTCCAGCCTTCTCACCCCCTCCTTTGTATCAGCACTAGGACAGGGAGCCAGATCATACACATTCCACTGCTATTAACCAGCCAAAAGTCAACAAGACAAACTTGGGTTTTAGCTAGACAAGTTATTTCAGCCTGCTCACCACAAGCACTGAAATACTTCTCCCCACACAAAGTAAGACAATAAGGAAGAAGATGAGAGCAGTACATTCAGCAGTAATATAGTTTTACAGTGGAGTCTTAAAAAAGAGCCACAAAAAAACATGGATTCTGCTTATAGTCTCTCTAGTGCAGACTGCTTCAGAGCACAGCAGGACATAATCCGGCTCCAACCCAGAAGCCTCTTAGAATAAAACATGCCCTGAGTCCTGCCATGCCCAATATACTTCATCAGCCTTTCAAATACAGGTTAAGTACTCAAGGCCAGGATTTTTCACAAGTGGATTAATTTCCACCATGAAAGCACTGCTGGTATTGATTTGCAAAGGCATGTAGCTATGAAACAAATATTTTTGTGTAACTGCTTGAGAACTCTGGTTATCTGAAATGCCTCAAACCTCCACCACTGCTCTGGTGATAGAGAATGTTGCCAGAAATAAATAAAAAATGAAATACATATACATACAGAATCGTGTATTTATGACAAGTATCTTCTTATTCATTTGACAACCTAGTACACTCTAACAGAGAAGGAGATTTTAAAATTTGCAAATATAAACCATACTGTGAAGTTACTGTTAGTAATAAGGTTAACTATCTCGTATTTTGAAATAACTTTAAAGAAACGTGTTCTTTACTTCTGAGTCTTCTGTCCTTATAGCAGTTTACTCACCATGGAGACGAGCCACCAACACAGGATGATGAGGCAAGACAAAGAAGTAATCAACTAAATTTTGCAATGCATCAAGCTCAGAAGTCCAGCTGAGTGCTTCATACTGTCACCTGCTTCTTCTACCAACACCCAGTTAACATTCTTCCAAGGATGAAAATGTATTCACAAATAATGATTATTTCCTTAAGTGTTTCTTCATGCCATCAGATCATCCAAAGATCACTATGTCAATTAACAGGAACTTGGATACAGCATTCACAAAAAACACTAAGCAAATGTTGAAGGAGATCAACAACAGAAAGACCACCAGCATGAAATAAGCCAGATCTCTGTGCTAGTTGAAGATTAATTCAATAGTACTATACTTTTCCTACAGATACTTTTCTTGAAAATAGATGTATGAACAAAAAAAAAAAAAAAAAAAAAAAAAACACCTACCTCACATAGTGTTTTCCATCCAGAAGGGTACTCTTTCAAAACAAGACTATTAGCAAGTGCATTTGAGTTTGCCTCCTTACAATTTAGGGAATTATTTCTATGGATACATGTATATATGTATCAAGGCTGCTGCAACAGCATTAGTATTTTTAATGCCAAGACTATGCTATTATTTAAGAAGAGCATTCAATAATTGATGGGAGTTTGGATGATTTTCTAAAAAAGGGAATCTCCAAGGCTTTTTATTTTTGCTGCTGTTATTTTTATTTTGAAGAAGCCATCATGTTCTCGGTTCCTCTCCATGAAAATGAAAATAGAATTACAACCAAAAAATGTAGTGAACTGCAATGGCTTGTTTTAAAATCCTTTATAGTGGAATAATACAAAAAGCATAAGAAAATGTAAGAGATACTTGTAGATGCAATAAGTTAGAGACTAGAATACAATGCTATTCAGTTCTGAAATAAAAACCTACTGCATTATTTAATTCATGTGAAAACAAAGTATGTTTACAAATTCTATCAATTTTACATTAACTGCATTTTTCATTCCCTCAAGAAAACAGTACATAATATTAGCAAAGAGAGATCTCTACAGGGTGTTCTATACTTCACACTACTCTCACTTCCTTGGATGTCGCAAAAACCTACTTTTGAAGTCTGATTTACTCAGAACATGGTGAAACTATTAACCACACTAGTATTCTCCAAAGTAGCTATATCTTGATTCTACAAATGAAAACTGCACAAATTAATGCATATCAGACTCTTTCAAAATGGCACATTTTTCCTTTTTAAACTTCCTGTTTAAAGTGGATTGAAGTAAATGAAAAACACATATTGGTGTCAGTGAATGCCAGTATAGGTCCTTACAACAATATAAACATACTTTGGAATCCCTCAGTGAAAGAAATATAAGCTCTTAAAAAAAAAAAAATAGGAAAAAAAAAGATGCTATTGTCATTTAAATTTAAATTAATTTCAATTTTTTTCCTGAATTTTTTTCCGTAGTTTTCTGGGGTTTGTGATTGGTGGTTAATACTGACCTCCATAATTTTTTACCCTGTGGCTTTTCACCGAGTATGAAATTTTGTTTATAGAGTTTTTTCCTCCAAATATATATGGAGAAGCTTTACTCCTGCCAGACTACAAAGGGAAGCGCCTCCTATTCTCCCCACTTAGCACTGAACTGCCATAAACTTACTGCCACATAGCTCTGCAGTTCTGTAAGATTTCTACAATTTTGATTATCCTTGGCTTTATTAATATCATCAGTAGATATTATATTACACCTAGCCTTCTCAACACAGCTGCCATTTTCCTAACCTGTTATTCAATATTAGGATTAAATAAAACCAAGGGTAAATTTTTTTCAGCTGTCTCTATTGCAATTCATAACAGTTCCAGTCACAAAATCCCCTTCTATTTCAGTGTGGTCAAGCCCTATTGGCAGGTTTCAGGAAGACAAGAAAAAACTCACCAAAATTTCTTTCCTCCTTAATCTTTTGGGTCAAGCAAAAGTTCTGGAGTCCAGTGTGCAAAGTCCATGATCTACTCTGCTTTCCAAACAGACCTCTTGGAAATTTTTGGTACTCAGAGGGACAGTGTGCTATAGTACACTGAGAAAGATTCTCCTAGGATACCTCCTGTAGTATCCACGGGAAGATGTCCCAGGTGGCCAACGCGTGCCCCTTACAAAGCAGTGTGGTCATTTCTGCCATTCTGGCCTTCCCTCCACCTCCAATAGCATGAGGGATATGGGAGCACTAGGCTTTGGATAAACTGGATAAATACACACTGCATCCCCTGACATTGTCACATGGCACACAGACAATATACTACAGCTTAAGGTACACTGTGGCCAAATGACATATAGGAGGTATGCAAGACAGTGGAAGAAGATGGAATTCTGTGCATATCAAAAAGCTGAGTTCATTCAATTTTCTGTAGAAATACTGGTTAAATCCTACTAAATACAGTTACTTGGTTTTTCTCGTTTTTTTGCGAGGTCCATCCTGAATGATGACAATGATGACAGGCCAAAGGCTATACTTGAACACCCCATAATCAATAAACTTTTAGTTCCTGTTAACAGAAAAGCTCTATTCACATTCCTTATTATTTACTTCTTTCATTCAATTATTATATGGTCTACTTGTCTGATCACAGGGTAATGTAAAGTGGATGACTAAACTGTTTACAAAGTTTACAGTTTACTTTTTCCCCTCTTAAAAGACACATGGGAGAAGAAATGCACCACCAACATCCATTTGGTGGAGACGAGTCCACTTTGTAGGAGGAAAAACAGACTCCAGTACTGCTGGTGAGCTCTAAGAGCTCAGGTCACCATAGACGGAGGGGTCTAGGTTTACCACCTTGCTCAGCTTCATTATTTTCACAACTGCAGTGAAACCTGTTAATAGAGGGCTCACAGTTGACTACAAAACACACTTCAGTTTCTATGAAGGTAACCTTCATGAACCACGTTTTTAACTGTTTTTCTCAAACAACTGCATTAGTGGTCAGGGCTGCACTACTGCAATCCGTGAGAGTTTTGCTGCACTACTGCAATCCGTGAGAGTTTTGCTGCTGGTAACAATGTCTCCGAGGAAACTGCTGTCAGTGGAGATGCATCCCCACTCCCTGGTAAGGATTTTGGCTTTCTATCCAGTTTTCTTTCCTGTTGACAGATATAACTTACCCCAAGTGTCTGGTTAGTTTTAAATCACTATGGTACTCTCAAAAAAAAGAGTGTTCAACAAAGCCAATAGGAAAAAAAATAACAACAAAAAATAGTTCCTGTAGAGTTCATCTCACTCAAACTCAGCTATAATAAGCCATTTGGTCACTGAAATGACACCTGCAATGTTTTCCCTTAGGATTTTAGTTAGCAGTTTTGAACATTTGGGCTGCTATATTTAGCATATTCCCACTTGTTTTTTTTTTTGTGCTTCTGAGTTACAGCATCAGTGAGTATACTACAGGCTCTATACTGTTTCTGATCACTCTACAAGAAGATTAAATATAAGGAAGAACCACTGTTAACAATAAATTTCTATTTACATTGTCCACATGTACTTTGGAAAGGTAATTATGGTAATTTCTTTATATGGTGCAACATAAAAATGTTGTACAGTTGAAGAGATGAGTCCTAGACTCACAATGATTTTTTTTAATGTGTCTCATTTTCAATGTAGGCATGGAAGTGTTGTAGGGTACTTCAAAAACACACTGTCAGATTTAAAATAGGTAATTTTTTTTTTTGCAGTATCCTTAAAAATTTCTTCCAAAATAGAAGCATAGAAATAAATATTTGTAATCTATTAATTTTTGCAATCCTTTTTCCTCCTTATAACTCTTTAAAATGAAACTACAAGTTAATTCAAGTAACACACTTAGATCAATCTTAGCCTCAACCAGTGCTGATCCCACTGAACAATGCACTAGAAAAAGCTGATTATAAATCAGTATATCAGGATGGGTGGAAGGAAGAAAGAGCTGTTTCTAATGAATTGTTTAAAGCTCTGCCTGAGAAAAAAGATTCTTGGTTTTCATCACAGAGGAAAGCCAAGAGTAACTTCAGTAACTTCTGCTGCACACACTGGGTTCTCCACACAGAAAGTCATCGTTCTTCATGCTAGAAATATTTTATCATTTGTGTAATTATAATCAATAATTGCCAGAGGATTAGCTTTGTTTCTTCTGATTTAACAAAATAAATAATCAATCTCTTGCATATTATCATCTATTCTTACAATCTGTAACAATGTGACCTTATCAGAGAGGAAGCATCTACAGCAACTAGCAATACATCCAAAGATACAAATTACTGCAGTTAGACATCTTGCATGGGTGCTTCATTTCCAATTCTGTGGTATGTTGCATGTAATGATTTTCAAGGAGTGCTGTAATCTCAGACATCTTCTAGATGTAAAAGACAGAAAAAGAATGGACTATATCTGGCCTTTTGAGAGCATCCCTTAAGTAAAAAAAGACTAAGGCAATTGTTTATATCATCACTACATTAAAGTCATGTAAGACACTCCCACATCCTCTGCATTCTATAATCTACAGTCCAATGTTATGCATGAAAGAGCAGCCTTGACACCTCCCAGGTCCCACAAGTTAAAGGTCAGATTCTCAGTCATGAGATGGCTAAAAGCCTTGGAGAGCCAGAAGCACAGTCATAGTTTAATAGACAGACAGGGGCACAGCCATAGTTTCAGCACTATGGGTTCTTTTTATTCTGACTCTTCTCCCAGCATAGTCTAGGGCAGTCTCAGAATGCTCTCAATTAGCCCACCTGCTTGTGGTCTCCACCAGTCCTTTGATCACTGTCTGGGCACAGAACCACTCAACACTCACCTGATCTGCCCTGCAGCATATGATTTTGACCACAGGCTACCAATCTTTCTATTCCAATCAACCAAAGCTAAGGTTTAGTCCAGACCCTTTAAAGACACAGCCAGATCACAACTGAGAATTTGGCCTCTGATTTTCACCTGTCATCTGCACAGAAACACTAACCATTTGCCTAGCCAGATGGATCTGTACAAACACATTTATATGTATTAACAGTGTATCTTCCACCCGTTCCAGTGAAAACAACATTTATGATCAAGACTTCTATCAGATTTAACTATTTGATTTTTTTAATAAAGTCACCAGCTTGCATATTGCATATTGAGATGCTAAGAAAAGTGCCTATCAATGCCATTGTTTAAAATAAACAAATGGATCATAAATTTTCCTTGGGCTCTACCTAGAACCTTTATTTTCTTATTTATGTCACAGCAGTCCTTCACAAAAAAAGTGTCTTTCATTCACACAGTGACATGCCATAGCTGCACTCATCAAAGCACAGGACTTTTTTTTTTTTTTTGCTTAATTTTGAACACTTTTAAAACTATGTTAAAAATTTAAGTTGACACAAACATTACATGAAGTAGGGGTGGAACATGTGTTCAAAGGCAATCAAGAATGTAACTCAAAAATCTGGGGTGGGTGGGGGAAGAAGGAAAGAAAAAAACCAAACCCCAAAACATCCAAGGAAAAAACAAAGAATTCAAATAAAAAGTTGAACATTGCGGATCTGGTCCTCATCTACTACAATGGATGTAATTCAGGAATAAATCCACTCAGGCTGGTCAGCAAGGTCAAAGAAGAATCAAACAGTTAAGATCACCTTACCAAACTAGAAAATCCAATTTTGAGAATTACATCAGATTTCAGATTTTACAAGGTTCAATTATTATTTTGGAGTGAGTTACAATGCAAAATAACGCTTAGTAAAAATATACGGAGCTCTACAACTCCTTTGCATAACTTTCCCAGAGTTGCACTTTCCCAGGCTGGACTCTCTTTTCTTTTTCCACTTCTCATTTTCTTCCCCTTGTTCTGCCAATTTTAATCTAGCAGGGACAGTCCTTTTCTAGCAAGCACTGTCAAAATATTCAGGACATGGACCTCGCACTCAGAGAATGCAATGCTGTGTTCAGACAGCAGTGCTGGGTGCCTCAGGGATTTGTAATAGCCAACGTGCATATTCCTAGCAGTCAGATGTGTTCCACTGCACAGCTGTGCACCTCTGCCTCTGATTTTTTCAGTGCATGTTCCTCCCAAAGACAAGTTCTGTACATCCAGAGTAGTTTGTCTGAAGGAGTGATGGTTCATTGCTAGCTGAAGGGAGGAAGACCCATTACTGTTACCCATTACTCTGGTAAGAGTTAACTAATTATCCCCAACAGCTCCAGCCTTTACAATGGGAAAGTAGCACACAGCTTTTATATATAAGAATTACTGACCTTTTTAAATAGTTTCAAAAGAAGAAACTATGCATCAAATGTGAGTATAATTTAGGAACTACTACATAGCAGCAAAACTACATTAGACTTTCTGATTTTTCCATGGTATCCTTGGATAGATACACCACCCAGTAGACCATGTTAAATGCTCCAAAGGTAACAGGAAATAAAATGCGTGCATATTTGTCTATCTTACTCGTGCCAGAGTGAGAGGCGGGGGGAGCAGGTGGTGTGACAGCAGATGGCTTTGCAGATGCTCCTAATGTATTAGATGTGGTGGTCTGAATCTGCTCCAGTCTAGATCCAAGCAAGTGCTGAATGGAAGGGGAACCAGCTGTGGCATGCTGGGATACAAATCCAGTTAAAATTGGGGTAGAAGGAGGAGCCGGAGGGGTAGCTCTTGCAGAAGATAATGTCTCTGATGCATTGATGCGTGTGAAGGGGTTGGGACTTGATGCAGAAAAGGAGCGGGATGTAATGTCAGAAGACCCCTGAGCTACAGAGGGAGGCTGGATGGAGCTGTGCCTTGTGTCAATTCGGCTCCCACCGTCAGCTTCAGACTGTACCGTTGCATTCGTTCTTTTCCTCACATTTGAATTGGCATCTGTACTCTGCAAAGTTTAAAAAAAATACTAGAGTCATTCTTAAAATAAGCACTCAAACAAAAGCAATGGAAACTATAATCAAGAACTATCAGAGTAATACTCATATATATAACCAGTAGCTTGATCCTAAAGCACAAAGGTCATCATGAAAATAGATTTAATAGCATATAAAGTGATAAACAAGAGTTCCTTTACCTGTGGCTGGAATATCAGAGAAGACACCTAATGCATCACACTCCATGTGATGTAGTACCTATTAATACCATAAGGCTAAGCATTCTTGGGTTAGAGTCATAGCTTTTTACAGGCTCATGCTAAAAACAAGATTCTCTGATGCCTACCTATTTCTCTGATGATATACAAATATTCTAGGTGCAACTTACCAGCCATGATGGTTTCTGCTTTATATCTCCAGAAATATAACTACCATATACTAGGAATTCTAGTCTGTGATCCGGACCTGAGGCTATTAAAATGCAAGTATTTACTAAACCCAGTTACCACATTACTGCTCTTTCAGAAATATAGCCAATGCTTTTTCACATCAACCATCGGCAATAAATTCCCCAGGCACAACTGAACCAGGACATAAATTCGTCTTTCATCAGCTAATCGTCTCCATTAATTAACTAAGAGAAGTGGTGAATTCTCCATCACTTTATGTCTTCAGGCAAGTCTGGATGTCTTTCTGAAAGATATACTTCAACCAAATAATACTTATTAGGCTGGATGAGAAATTGAAATACAGATAAGGAAGTATAGATGGGAAATCCATCAGTTTAATATTTTACTGACTTTTGGGAATGCGACTTGGCCTCTGCCTTTCTTCTCTGCATTTAAGAGGAATACTAATATCTCCTGAACTTCCTTCTGGAAGGGTACCTGAAGAACAGAATTTTGAACCTTCAGCCCTGCACCTGAAATATAATATAAAACATATTATACTTCAGATATAATATGTGAATACTTTTTATTCAGAGACTAACTGCTTTCCAAAAGACACAGACTTAAGGGCAGATACAGTACACATACTCAGCATTGTTAATACAGGTCTAAATACAGACAAGGCAAAACAATCACTTGTTATATATATAAAAATCCTATGTTTTGCACTTCTCTGATGATACCATTCCCAAACACTGCCCTGCACCATACCTACTGTGCTTTTGGCTTCCCTTCCCTTCAACCTTCCCAGGGAACCCTGCCAAAGCTCACAGCATAAATCAAAGGGAGAGAAAGCAGGCAGCAATCTCTTCCCTCCTTCATCCAACAGCAATTCTCCCCAGAAAAGTGACAGAGCGGTAACAGAAAACAACTCAGGTGTTATTCAAGGTACTAGCAGTACCTTGAGTAGTGAGACGAGCAACAACTGTGTCTGCCTGCTACATCAGTTGTGCTTTCCTGTTCTGCTCAAGGAAACAGAGAAATGGGAGCTGAAAAGAAATCTGAAAATATAACAATAATAATTAAAAAAAAAATCACCTGATATCTCTAGTACTCCCATCATGAATGCTGCTCCCTAATCCTGTTAATTGCAGTACAAATCTATTACGGGCAATACTGTTGGCCTGAATTTATCTGAAACTGTCATAGCTATATGCCTATTCATGGCTGATGTACTTGCCAGTTCACAGCTGATGTATTTGCCAGCTCATGGTTGATATATAAAAGAATCCCTCAAGTTTCAGTTTTCCTTCCTGCATACAAGTGTGTCCCTTTTATTTACTCTTCTGCATCTGCAATCCAAAGAAGCAGAGAAGTGAAATAAACACCAGAAGAAACTGGTATTTCCTGAAAGAAACACTGATTTTACTCTTTGATAGAGAAGCTCGTGTCACTCTTTGGGAAGTACAGAAGTACACACAGGTGTGCAATTTCGATACTTTCATACTAGGGTTGTCAGTGACCCAGCTTTCAAGACTGCTAAATTGAAATGATAAAGCACAATCAGGACAGTAGTACATTTACTAGAGACTTGGTAATACCTGATGGACTACTGCATGTCACTTGAAGGCTTGCAAATCTGAGCAGATGCAAGTCATCAGTATTCACTGCCCGAAATAACAGCTCTATGCTGTGGAGAAGCTGGCAGTACAGTCAATGATAGGAGGTGAGTTTTTTGTCTTCTCTGTGCAGATTCCTGGACAACCTGGCTTTGCTCAAGTATGATTCACCCATCATAAAGCTCTCAAGCAGCACCTGGGGAGCAAAAGTCCATGGGCTGGGATAGGGGTTGCAAAGTAGATCTGCACTGGAGTAAGACATATCTCAGTGCTGCTGCTAGAGAACAGAATTACCACACCTTCAGTCACTCCACGTGCAACCATAAAAGAATGGTTCAAAGCGTAGAACAAAAAATTAAGTGCAATTAATTTACAGAGGCACTATTTAATGCTCTTGCTCACTTGTACTGTCACCTGTTTTCAAAGACCACCTCAGTAACAGTCGGGCTCCTCATATTCCAACCATCTCCATTACCACCGAAGTGACCAAATCAGACCTGTTGCTACTTGATTCACTACTCATTTCCCATTACAGTCTCTATTTTAGAATAAAATTATCTATACTATTTTGAATGGTCAAAATCTGTATCTGTGTAAAAGCCTACTGGGTGTTCACTCTCATTAGTGACACAGAAAACTTCCAATACTTCAGAAACCTTAAGTTTAGAGAGAAACCCAGTTTTCTCATAAAATACACATGAAAATACACATCAAGTCCAAACAGATAACACTGTAAGATCACAACGTAATACTGCATAACAAGCACCAAAAATACAGGTATATTTTTTGTTAATTCTTTGGAAAGCACCTCATAAGCACTCAGAGCATAGAAATTAGAAACAGTATTTCTAACGTGCTCCACAAACACCATATCACTGAAACTGGTTGTTCTTCCACAATGTCATTGTAATAGTTTGGATTTGTGTTCTTGAGTTGAACCTTGTCCTTGAAATGTACTGAAACAAGTATGTTCCATGAAGCAACCAGCTCCATGCCCTGTCAAAGCTGACCAGAATACAGACTTGTTGCCAGGGTGGCCTCACCAGCACATTGTGCACCACCTCCCCTCATATATCCTTTTCTTGCACTTATTTACTCAGACTATATCATGACAATAGCTTATTCTCATTCAAAGCACTCAGGTATCACTCCTTGTCGAGTTGTCCAGTTGAAAATTTTCCAGAAAAAATTCTTTTTATTGGTTGTATACATGACCCCTATATATTTCTCTATTCAGTGTTACAAAGATAATTCATTTCTTCCTATATTAGTCTATTTCTCCTCTACTGATGCTATTTCAAAACTTCACAGCATCTAAAGATTACTGCCAAGGTCACTAAAAAAATATTGAAGAAGCCTGATTCTATAGCAAGCCTTAACAAATCAAATTATGTTGCAAAACACAGTAAAATATGACATTCAATTTGTATTAGCAAAATATTCCACACACAGCTATGGTGCATAGTCCTAAGACAGGGATATTGCCCATCAGTACCTTTTAGTTTGGAGGCACTGACTGGGTTTGCACAGCAAGGTTTGGGGTAGCAGAGGAGCTACAGGGGTGGCTTCTGTGAGAAGCTGTCAGAAGAAGGGGAAGCCCTGTGTCTGACAGAGCCAATGCCAGACAGCTCCAGGACAGACCTGCCACTGGTAGAGGCTGAGCCCATCAGTAATGGTGATGACAAATTTAAGAAGGGGAAAAAAACCTGCTCAATTGCAGCTGAAGAGAGGAGTGAGAATATATAAGAGAAACAACTCTGCAGACACCCAGGTGAGTGCAGAAGGAGGGAGAGAAGATGCTCCAGGTACCGGAGCAGAGATTCCCCTACACAGCCTGTGGTGAAAAGCATGGTTATCCCCTTGCAGCCCATGGAGGTCCACAATGGAGCAGAGATCCACCTGCAGCCCATGGAGGACCCCATGCCTTCCTTGAAGGACTGCACCCCATGGAAGGGATCCACATTGGAGCAGTCCATGAAGTATTGCAGCCCCTGGGAAGGATTCACCTTGGAGAAGTTCACGGAGGGTTGTCTCCCCCAGGAGGGACCTCACAAGGGAGTAGGAGAAGAGTGTGAGGAGTCCTCTCCCTGAGGAGGAAAGAGTGGAGGAGACAACACCTGATGAACTGACTGTAACCGCCACTCCCCACCCCACTGAGGCACTGTTGGGGAGGAGATAGAGAATTCAGGAGAAAAGCTAAGCACAGGAAGAAGGAAGCGGTGCAGGGAAGATGTTTAAGATTTAGTTTTTATTTTCTCATTACCCTACGCTGCTTTGATTAGTAATAAATCAAACTAATTTTCCCCAAGTCGAGGCTGTTTTGCCCATGACAGTAATTGGTGAGTGATCTCTCCCTCATCTCAACCAATAAGCCTTTTGTTACATTTTTGCTTTCATGTGTGGCTGAGGTGGCTTTGGTGGGCACCTGGCATCCGGCATCCAGCCAGGGTCAACCCATCACAGGCATGGAAACAAGAAATATAATATAAAAACAAATAGAAGCCAAATGAAAATGCAAGCCAGGAAAGGAAGGGATTATCCAAGTAAAGACTCCTTTATGAGGGCAAGTCAGGAAACCACTCAATTATCCTGAGCCAACAGAGAGCTGCTGTGCTAGTCCAGATGGGGCTCCACAGGAAATACTGAGTCCACATTTTTTACATTCTCACTCTAGACTGAAAAAGGATCTGATTTTCTGGAGGCATTTCAGTAAGACTTTTGGGAAACATTTAAAATGGTGTAGCTCAGGAATGCAAAATTGGAGCCTGGAAACCACCATAACGTCCAGTATATTACACCATGCAGTGCCAGGTTTAATACATTTGATAAATGTAAATAAATACAACAAATTCTTCTTATGTAAGTGTCTCACCCTTCCTTTGAAAGAGCCTATCAGTCTGACTTGGTCCAACCAACTCCACAACAAACCAGAAACTATGATCACAAACCACCACCAAAACAGAAGTTGTAAATACTTTGCTCTGCTCTATTCTCCTTCAAGAG